GTTATTTTGACCTGGGAGTCATGCAAGAATAACAATACAGAACTTGAAATTAGCATAATAGTTTCAGTTCACATTTTTTCACCTCATTCTTAGAATTTTAACAACTATGAAAATGATGCAAAATTGTTAGCATTATAGCAAGACTTTACAAATATGGGACAAAATAATGTTTAAATATGACATGTCCAATGCCTGATATGTATTATAGATACCTTGCTCCTTCTATGTTAGAACTCGCAGTAATGCGGATATTGCCCAACTCCCAGTCAGAGTAGTCCTCTTTGGGCTCAGGGATGAAGCTGAAGGCACCAGTGTTGGTCAGATTTCTTCCAAGAGAATACAGATACCGCAGCTCTGCCTCTAGAAGGGCTGATGCATTTGTCTCTTCTTTTGCTTTAAACTCTCTGTAACCCCACAGCTCTATGTTGACCTTCTCTGCGCTGATCAAAGAACTATTCCAAGTGAACTCAAGTCGTCCTGCCACATTCGGCGTGCCGTAGTATTGCCACTGCATTGCATTCACCAGGGTAACTTTATAAGCAGGATCTGCTATACTTGGATGGACTGATAGTTAAACACAACAAATGTAATTGTAATTCACAAGTTGTAGCAACAGTTTTAATAATGTATTGGAAGCAGCGCATGAATAATTGCAAAATGTGTCTATATTATTTAATTTTTTCACACTGGCCAATATCTAGTTGGGGAAGTGGGAATTAAAATACTGTATCTGCAATAAAGTCTTCTTCAAATAGCACTTAAAATATTTTCTATAGTTTCTAAATCAACCTAATAGACAGTATACCCAAAAAGGTTTAGATATTGATCAGTTTAGAGACAGGACATTAACAGCTTTATATTTCAGCAGCTTACCTGAGAAATACTGTGCAGATCTGTCAAACTTAATGCCATCTGTTGAGACATCAAATGGTATCCAACCCGTCTCATACAACAGAGGAGAAATACAGTATGCACGGCCCTCAATATCAATAAATCCATCACGTAAAATTTCACCTTTAAACCTGCAAAAAAAAACAAAAAACACACAATTTATTAGTAACAAGAACTGTGTGATTCAAATGGAAAACACAAATATAGAGAGACTAGTGAAATCCGACTACAAACCTTAGATTCCGTTCACGCTTAGTGTATAAACATAAACGCCAAACCTTTCACCTTTACAGTTTAGTAAGCTATGTTAACATCTTAGATCACCTTTCAGCAATTGAGGATTACACTCTTATACTACAAAAACACACCTGCAGAGAAGCTGCCCATGGGGATGAAGGTCCAATCCGAGGATCCTGAGCACTTTTCCGCCCAGCATGGAGCTGGAATAAGGGATCACCTGGAAACAGGACTGATTGTAGTCTGCACAGCAGCTCGTCAAAGACATACAGGTGGCATGGCAGGAGCACTTCTCCAGTACATCTCCACAGCGTCCCCTGCATGTTTGACCTAATGAATAGTAACAACAAATATTTGCACATCATACTACGGAAGCGTAGAGCTGCCACCCAGGCAAAAGAAAAATACAAGTGTATCACGTTATAACGTGAAAGGTTTATTGTTCTAACAAGATACTTTTCCTGTTTGTACAATATACTATCATGTTTGTACAATATACTTTTCACGTTTGAACAACATAATATCACGTTATTACAATATACAATATAATATTTATATTGTACGAACGTGATAATTATGTATATTGTAATAACGTGATATTATGTTGTTCAAACAGGAAAAGTATCTTGTTAGAACAATAAACCTTTCACGTTATAACGTGATACACCTGTATTTTTCTTTTGCCTGGGTGGCAGCTCTACGCTTCCGTATCATACCTCAAAATATATATCGAATTTATATTACAACAACACAGCCACATTCCATTACATTACAAGGTGCGCGTAATTTCTGATTATCTGTCTAATGAAAAACTTTGAAAATGACTTACCAGCTGTGTTATATGAGAAAACAATAAGAAGCCCACTGAGACAAAATATCTTAAAGTTTCCCCTCATCTTTAGCTTGGACAACAAAATAACGTTCACGCTCCTGCCTGTGTTACACCATCTTTGGCTGAAAGTCTGCCAAAGGTCATTTGAGGAAGCAAACAAAATTAAGTATTCGACTTTAGTAACAGTTCTAAATCACGAGGTACTGATTAACAGACGCTAAGGTCTGACGTTTTTATTTATTTTTCCTACAGGAAACCAACAAAATGTATATATTCTTCCCAAAACTCGCACTGTCACGTATTTAATTTCATTTTCAGCTAATTAAAGTTACAACTTTAACCGTTAACTCGTGCTTGGTTCACTCCACTAACATATGGGTTTATCCACGCATAAACTCACGAGATTTTAGGGCGAGCGGTTCGCGCATGCGCATACCTCGCATCTTCCTGCAAATGACTCGAAATGGGCAGCATTGGATTGTTGTATTGAATCAAGCTATATTTGTGTCTGAAATTCGCCCTGCTTCATCTACTGTCTCCTACGTTTGCCGCGACAACGAACCCAAATGTCGGAATAACGGGGGGAAATGCGACTTTGCGCTCAGTCATCTAGCTAACAAGCTAACCAGCTAGCAGCATCATCAGCTGATTGTAGACATCAGTGTCGGTGAGACTGCTCGCTGGGAAATGTATGTTTTCTACACAATTCTCGCATCTTTAGTTTTTTTCTTCATTCTGAAATGGACGAAAAAGAGGAGATATTTCACCGACCTGAAAAGACTTGATGGTAAAACAGTTCTTATAACAGGTAAATGTGTGGGGCAGCACACACCTTTAGTAAGCTTTGTTGTTGATGAAGTGTTAGTGGGGTTTAAGTTTTTAATAGAAGTCAAAATACTAAATAATATTACAATAAAACTTAGATTATTCCAAGCAGGGTTACAGTAATAGATTTCACATAAGCACTAATATATATAAATGTCCTATCATTTTTCCTAGGTGGTAATTCAGGTATAGGTAAGGAGACCGCTGTTGCCTTGGCACTGAGAGGCGCCCGTGTCGTCATCGCTTGCAGAGACCCGGACAAGGCCGAGACGGCTGTCAGAGAGATCAAGTTAAAGAGTCACAGTCTGAACGTCCTTCACATGCAGCTGGATCTGGCCAACCTGCGCTCAGTGAGGGAATTCTGTAAGAACTTTCTCCAGAAAGAGAAGAGGCTTGATATCCTGATCAATAATGCAGGTGAGTGTGTCAACCACATTTAGGTCTCTTCATCTATGAAACAATATCAAAAGCAATATATAGAATAGGAACTAATTCCTTTTTAATAAATCGTATTTGGATTGGAGTTGATTAGCTTACTCCATTTAGGTTTGTTTTTCCATGTCTGATCCAAAAGAACCAAGCTGCTGATGTCGTGCAGAAAATCCTGCATAGAAAAGTTTGCAGTGACAGCAGAAGCTTATTCAGACTGTAGACTGATAGTTTTACTTTAAACCTACAGATGCTTCCCAGCACACATTGTCATAAACATCTGTATTGTAGATACACTGTATGTAAAAAAAAAAAAAAAAAGCAGCAGGATTTTTTAGTCACCTGTTTCCTGCCTCACCATCTCATTGTTTTTTGACCTCTTTCTTTCTCTTTGTGCAGGCATGCCCAGCATCCTTGACTGGACGGATGATGGCTTCAGCATGTGTTTTGGCGTCAACCACTTGGGGCACTTCCTTCTAACCAACCTGCTTCTTCCTCGCCTGAAGGAGTGTGCCCCCAGCCGGGTGGTGACCCTCACATGCTCCACTTACAAATACCAGAAATTGGACTTCCAGGACCTCAATTACAACTTGCTTCCCTTCTTCACCTACTGCCGCAGCAAGCTGGCGAATATCTACTTCAGTCAGGAACTGGGTCGCATCACTGACGGGAAAGGAGTGACTTCATATGCTGTGCACCCTGGTAAAAACCTTTTATCAACAGTTCTCTTTAATCAGTTTTTATTATGTCTTTCTATAATTTGCCTTGAGGTAGAATGGTTAAAAATTATAAAGAGATTTTGTTTTACCCTTCCATCTTTATCATTCAAGAGGTACATTTTCCTAACAGAGCTTGCAGTTTTACTGTAAAAAAAAAAAAAAAAAAAAAAACCCTCTCCCCTTCCTTTTTATACAATATTTGGGAAGTCTCTTCTGGTTTTGAAAAGTGAGACCAATGTTGGATGTGGTTAAATCTGCATTGTTTCTCATAGCCAGCAGGGGGCGACTCCTGGTTGCAAAAAGAAGTGCTTAGTCTTTGAGGAAAAACTTTTCACCTTTCTTGATCTATGACTTGAACAACCTGTTGAGGTTTCAAGTGCAGGTTTCACAACTTACTGAATGAAACATGCAGTTGATTTTTTTTAAATTATGGTGTCTTTAGAGTCAGAGAAGGCAATAAAGCAGGGTTTGCTTTGGGATAACCGTTTGGGTCTGCCGTGTTATTAATGAATCACGTTTCACATGAGCATAATCCATGGTTTTTCAGTCAGATCCACCTTTGCTCACGAAACCAATCAGAAAGAATAGCAGTATAGGAGATTATGATTTTTCGTTTTATTTAATTACCTGGATGAGGAAAAAAATGGTACCATGCATGACAGCTGAAATTAACAGAACCAAAATCTTCCACCGCATCTTGACTGTTTGATCCATTGTAGTGATGTACAGAGGCAAAAATACAAACTTGTGTCATTCAACTATTTAAAGACCTAAAAAGGTAATAATTATCCTCATATCTTGGATTTTTATGTTACTCCAGGTTTTGTGCAAAGCAGCTGGACATGCCACTACTCTTTCCTGTTCCGGATGCTGATGCAGGTGATCATGTGGATGTTTTTTGTGCCGTGTGAGATTGGAGCTCAGACTGTCATCTACTGTGCCGTGTCAGATGAAGCTGCCAAACACAGCGGGGGGTACTTCGTCGACTGCCGACCTGCAGTGCTCCGCCCTTTTGCAAAAGATGCAGGTGTGGCCAAAAAGCTGTGGGAGGCCAGTGAGAGACTGGTGAAGCTGGCTTAACTGAGGAATCTGAAGGCACTTTTGAAATGACCTCACCCCTTCTTGTCCTTTTTCTATATTATTTAAGCAGATTTTGTTATGTTTTCGTGAACATTTTGCTGTGTAAATTCTCTTTTATGTACTTGTGTATTTCAAGTGAAATACTTTATTTTACAAACACAAATTTTTGTGGAAGACTTACTCTGCCTTATTTCTCTTGCATTTGTACATGAATATTAATTTAATGAATAAGTGACTTCATGGTTTAAACACTTGATTTATAGCATAATGTATGTGGTGATTGTTCAAACAGAACGGGTTATATTTTGATAAAGCAACCACAATAGTATTAGATATCTATCTGTATTAAAGGCTCTTCATAGGGAGTGTTACAGTTTTTAAATTGTTAATGAATCAACTTGCACCCTGGGCTGTTAAGAAGATGTGGTGTCAGTTTTCCTCCAGGGAAGCTAATTTGAGGACTCTCAACTTTGCTGAATGGAGCTCCAGACCATAAAAACACAAACACTGTAAATCAAACAAAGAGATAAGTAGCGAGTCGATTGAAAAGGATATTTCAAATATAAGAAGCAAGTGGTGACAACACTGGAGAAAGACGGATGAAGAATGGTGCTTTACTGCTGTGGAACAAGAACAAGCTTGTGCACGCATATAAAGCAGTCTGACCACCTAAACAATATCAAGGCTGATTTGCTAACTCTCATTTCTTGCTTAAATTATATTTAATTAGCAAAAACTCATCTGAATTTGTGTGGACATCATTTCTCTGTGTTTATATCCACCAGGTAAAGCAAAGCTAAAACTTCCCTTACAGATTGTTTTAGGGGTAAATTCACCATCAGTTTGTTAACATTTAGAGTTTTTTCATTTCTTGTTTCTTGGTAAAATGTATTTTAAGTTATTTTTTGTTTAGAAGTAGCTTTTTATCCATACATGCACTGCATATGAGAAGCTTGGAAGCACTTAGGCCTTAAAACTTTTGGTTGGTTTTTAAAAAGCAAAGAATGTCTATATTCGATCATATATTACCAGGCAATAAATACAGTGAGAAGTTAGTGTATGTTAAATTCACTTTTAAAAAAAGGTAATGAGGGGAGCACATAGAAAATCAACCAATTTATACAACTGGGAAATAAATTAGTAACACAAACTAAAGGGAAATACATGAGGAGTCTGTTGTTTATTAAGATGCTGCATACAGCAAAGATCAGGATATTAAAGCTGTCAGTACTAAAACTAAAACCAAACATTTTATCAAAATGAATTTGAAATTCACTTTACATTCATTATTTTCATCACAGGTATCTGTGCTGTGACAAAGTAGGTTTTCCACATTTGTTCAATTCATCAGGTCTGAGTTCACAATAAACCTAAAAGCCAAAGTCTGATGGGAACATTGCACAGGTTTTCAGCCCCACCTAGTTCTGTCAAAAGTACTAATAAAATCAAAGGACAGAGTGTTTTCCATTAATAATGAATTTCCGAATATCATTTAAGTTATGAAACACTGAGAGAGAAACACTGTCAACGCAACAATACCTAAACACGTTGACTGTGGCAGCCTTCATTAACAGCGGTTAGCAGATGATCTCACAAAGAGTGATTGTGAGCGCTGGTTTTATGTCTTATGTCATCACAGACCTGTTACATACAGGTGTCGCAATGCGTGTAGACACCACGGCTCCGCCCCAAGGTGGAAAAACAGGTACAATGGAAAAACACCAGCACTCACCTGGACCATAACACACTGGGTGGACCACCCAGGCACCCTAACACCAATTGGCTGTCCATCAAGACACTGGATGATCCTCGACCAAAATTAAGGCCATTACTGGTGCCAACTGCAGCCCCATAACCATCAGACGGCATCTGAGACTGAAGGGCTTCAAAAACAAAAAACCTCTCCAAAGGCCTTGTCTCCTTAAACGCCACAGAAATAACCGTTTGGACTTTGCAAGAGAGCATCAAACATGGGACATTGAAAGGTGGAAGAAAGTTTTATTCTCTGATGAGTAAACATTTAACCTTGATGGTCCTGATGGCTTCCAACTTTACTGGCATGACAAGAAGATTCCACCTGAGATGTTTTCTAATCACCACTGTGGACAGGGCGCCATAATGGTCTGGGGTGCTTTTTCCTTCAGTGGAACAATGAGGCTTCAGGATGTGCAGGGGCGTCAAACGGCCGCTGAGGACCTGTTCCCCATCCTCTCGTTATCCCTGTGTGTATTTAAGCCCTGTGTTTTTCTTGGTCTGTGTTGTGATCTCCCTCATGCCATACTGTGTGTTCTGCCACACAGTAATTTGTTTTGTATTTTGTTAGCTTTGCGTGTTTCCAGCAATAAAGTTTTTTTGAGTGCACTTTTCACCTCCTGGAGTCTGCACATTGGGTCTCCCCTAACTGCCTGCCGCACACAGTGCATGACAATTGGATCCTTCGGCTCAGTGCTGGTGAAATTTTTGTGGGTCTTCCACTTGACTTTTTTTGTCTCATAACTCTCATGGTCATTTAAGAAATTCAAAATGACTGTCTTACTTTGTGCCACCTCAGCAGCAATGGCACACTGCGAGAGACCGTACCTATGCAGTTCAACAACCTGACCACATTCAAAAAGGGAACTTTTTTTTTTTTTTGCCTTTGCCATTAGAACATCATAACAGTGACTACCTGAAAGATAATGACAATAAATTCAAATTTTTACATTTAAAGGCATGTGGTCCTAAACTTTGGATCAACTGTAAAACTGCCTGTTTCCGTTTTTTGTTTTTTTTAAATGCCCAAATGTTTTGTCTCACTCCCATTTCTCCTTGTTGTAAGTTGAAGCTCTACTTGAAGCCTTGTTAAGATCCAACCATGCAAAATAATATTTTTTGCCATTTTTCAAGTGATCTTAAACTTTTGATTGGGACTGTACATTATTACATGTTATCTGAATGTTGTGTTTAGTTTGACCAGTTTATCAGTCCTGTCTCCTGATATTATGAATCTTAGTATGAGTTTTACTGGAATAATAAATATTATATAAAAAATTCTGGCAACTGGGGAAAAAACTGTCCCATGTGTGAAAAGAAATCTTGATTTTCCAGGAAGGAACTTTACACTGAAAGAAATTCTTTGCTGGGAGACAAAGCATCATGTGAGACAGAAAAGCGAGAGAATTAAATGGTCGTGTGTAGTAGTTGTTCTTTGTGGACGATTATGTCATTATAATATATATTACAGTAATATATTGAAATATTAATGTATTAATATAGGACTGTTTGCCCTTTTTTTAACTGCTGTGCCATGAATAACATGAATAACGCTATATTTGAATGTCGATCCTTGGTGTACAGAGGTAGGTCGGTGCAGCCTAAACTCAAACCAGAATTTAAACAACGATGCATATTCATGTTGGTTCAGCTAAATGTTTTTTCTGAAGCATCAGAGGAAGTTTGGTGGAGTATTCAACATCTGTGACACAGAAATGGCGCCATCTACTGGGAATATAGCAAGTCCGTTACTATCAGCTCCGCCCACAACAGAGTAAATGAAACTGAAATGAGTTTCATTGTCAACCACACTGGAGGCGCCATTACATTAAAACCTGCGCTCTGTACCGAAGAGCACAATTTGGCAGCATTATCAGGCAAAGAGGTCGTATTTCGGTGAGTCATAAAAAAAATTACGAAATGGCGGAGAAAGTCGCACTTTTTGAAAATTTCCTGAGCTGCCATGTGTGTTCAGAGACTTTCAGAGATCCTGTGTCTCTGAGCTGCGGCCACAGCTTCTGTTCAAGCTGCCTGCAGAAATTCTGGGAACAAACTACAAACAAAAACTGTCCCATTTGTAAAAGAAAATCTTCAAGAGATGAACCATCTATGATCTTTGCTCTCAAAGAACTTGCTGACTCCTTTGCTAAGAGGCAGAGTGAGAGCTCACCTGAGACAGAAAACGAGAAGGAGGAAGAGAAGGAGGAGGTGGTGTGTGATAAACATCCAGACGTCCCTTACTGGTACTGTGAGGATGAAGACAGAGCTGTGTGTCCTGTGTGTGAGTTTTCTCTCCACCAGAGTCACAAAGTGGTTCCTGTAGAAGAAGCAGTCAGTGACCTGAAGGAGCAGCTGAAATCTGATTTAAAGTCTCTGCAGGACAAGAGGAACAAATACAAACAAGTGGAGGAAACATACAATGAAGTGAGGGAACACATGAAGAAGCAGCTGTTGTCCACAGAGAGGCAGATCAGAGCAGAGTTCAACAAGCTCCAGCAGTTCCTGAAAGAGGAAGAGGAGTCCAGACTGGCAGCTCTGAGGGAGGAATAGTACAATCGAAATCTTTTTTGTTTTGTGGGATTCATTAGAGATATTTGTGCCATTTCAGTCCTAAATGTGCAGCCCTGATCAATAGTCTGGATGGAAGCTGTGTGGGTTTTTTTTTAAATTATTTATTTTATTTATTTTTTATTCCAAGCTGACAAACTTGACTGACTGAATTATCTGTTTGATCTGTCACCAAAGTTATTGTGCAGTTATATTTTGCATAGCATTGACATGCAGAGACAGTGAAATAGCAGCAAATGCATCTCATCTCCTCTTCGATAAGTATGAAAGAGACCCATAGAATAGCAAAGTATGCTGCTGTTTTTGGCTCTGAGGGTTTCAGCTCAGGGAAACACAGCTGGGAGGTGGAGGTGGGAGACCATCCTGACTGGATAGTGGGTTTAGCTAAAGAGTCAGTTGAGAGGAAGGGAGAGCGTTTTGCTTCACCAGAATATGGAATCTGGTGTTTATTGCATCGCAGTGGAGAATACATTAATGTTGTTGGTCGGACTGTGAAAGTGAAGAAGAGTCTCCAGAGGATCAGAGTCCAGCTGGACTATGACAGGGGGGAGGTGTCCTTCTATCACCCTGAAGACATGACTCACATCTACACTCACAGAGACACTTTCACTGAGAAACTCTTCCCATATTTGAGTATTGGAGAAAAAGGAGATGCCAAAATCTCTGATATCAAAATTGTCAGATAAGATTTCTTTTTGAAAAGTGCACGAGGTCTTGTGAGCTTGTTTTGTTTTCTCGCACTTTCTCTCTTTTATTTACATCTTGTCTTGTTGTTATTTGTTTGTTTGTTTGAAAAAAGCAGAAATAAAAATGTAACACATAAAGCAATTTACACAATAGAATATAAATTATTTTCAAAGCACAGAGAGCAAAATGATAAATGGCATTTGTTTTTGTTTTGTTTTTTTCCAATTCAGTTTAAAGGTGATTCAAAAATGATGCACCAAATGTGAGGTGATGCAATCTTTTATCTGTTATTGGTTATTTCTCCATTTTTCCATTCATTCCCTGCTCTTTTGTTTTTTTTATTAAATGTATATGTCATGGATCGGCTGTGTGGCAGGCGGGAGGAGGACCCAATCGCAAGATTCACAAACACGGGGATGAACTCAAAAGCAGCTTTATTGCTGACAGGCAGAACATAGGAAATACAGAACTCAACTAAACTGGGAATCAATAAACTAACACTCGTAGGGAGACACAGGGAATCCACACAGCAATGAGGGAGAACGCGACGCCGAACAGAGGGAGACGCAGACAGAAATACACAGAGGGTTAACGAGGAAAGTGGGAACACACGGGGAACACAGCTGACACAGATAACCATAACGAGACAGGGCGGGAACATAACACTGACGGGAGACGGGCAGAGTCAAACAGGAAGTACAGAGGTTCAGACAGGAGGAGAGAGAGCACGGGGAAAAACACAGACATAACGGGCTGGGGAAACATGGAACAACCACAAAGGGAGACGAGGGCTCATAAATACAGAGAGGGCACACAGGGGGGAGAGAGAGCACGGGGAGAACTTAGACATAACGGGCAGGGGAAACATGGAATAAAACATAAGGAGAGACGAAGGCTCACAGATACACAGAGGGGCACACAGGGGGTGAGAGTCACAGAAGGGAAAACACTTAGGGAACAACACAACAGGGCAACTCAGGAAACATGGCCTAAATAGGGAACAAAATACAAACATACAAGAAAACTAAGAATACTGGGCCAACATGGCCCAGGACCATGACAGTATAACTGTTTTAAAGTCATTTAACTCTTCATGAAACTATTTTTGAACATTAAAACTGTCCAAAATTGACGTGACAAAGATAAATGGATGCTGATAAATATTACTTAGCTTAGTTTTATCAGTGTTGAGATCAGAATCAGCTGATAACAATCTCTGGCTAATATGTGTGTTTTATTGGTTTCAAAATGTAAAAAAAACCCTGATTGATAACTTGATTAATAAAAAATGCTAATGTCTTGTTAAGTAAGTTAAGTAAGCGATTTGCCTCTCTGTGGACAACAGCTGCTTCTTCATGTGTTCCCTCATTTCATTGTATGTTTTCTCCACTTGTTTGTATTTGTTCCTCTTGTCCTGCAGAGACTTTAAGTCAGATTTCAGCTGCTCCTTCAGGTCACTGACTGCTTCTTCTACAGGAACCACTTTGTGACTCTGGTGGAGAGAAAACTGGGATTTTAGGAAATGTTCATCTATAGAAAACTGGACCTGTGAGTACCAAACATTCTCCAACTGCTGGCTTAAGAGGAAGCTCAAAAGAATTCAGTTGGGGGAAATTAATATTCACTGCTGATATTTTAATCTGGAAGTAAAAGTTGCAGCTAAGTAGTATTAAACCGAATTTATTATTTTTTATAAAGATTTAATCTAGTCAAGTAAAGGCATGAAAAGACACCAACGTTCACCATATAGGGGTACATATTTTACATCTTTAATTAAAAAATAGAATTATTTTCTATCTTCAGATTGTCAGTTAAACTAAAGGAACATGAAATCAATATAACGATAAAGATTATAAGAAAAACAATGTTTTCTAACGCATTACATAATTAAATTCAAAGCTAGTTTTTTATACTTTTAGAACAGAGCCTGAGATGTTAAAGCATTAATGCAGGCCTTTTTTGGGGGGGAAGTGAGACATATTTTCCAGATTTTGGGTTATGGTGTAAATATGCTATAACAAGTATCTTATCCTAATCTGATTGTTTGTGAAATTTACCTTTCTACATTTTTCAGTTAAAAACTCTCATGACCTGAATGAAACTGGACAACATGTCAGCAAACTGTGTGACAATCAAATTCAATCTCCACTCTCAAGTTAATTTTCAATTTCTTGACTTTGGTTTTGTTTATTTGTTTGCTTAATTAAAATAAGAACTCAGAATAATGTCAATGTAAAATGTATAGAACATAAACAATGTAGTGTGGTATATACTGCTAAAAAAGTGGGTACTTTTGTAAAGTGAAACATGCTGAAATTAACGGCAACATTTTTCCACAATTAGCTCAAAAACTTACAAAAACATGTTTCTTCGAATCATTTTTTTAACAACATTTAGTAAAGTATTTATAACTTTTCATATTCATAACAATTTTAAAAATACATATACTTGATCAGTTCCAAAGTGAAAATCACTGCTAACCAAAAAGAACACATAGACTCATCCCACGTTTGTCAAAAAACAAACAAACATCTTGTTGCATGTTTTTAGGAATTCTGTGGACTGACGAGACAAAAGTGGAACGTTTGCATTCTGTTCTGATGCTGAATTTGTAAGTTTGCTTACAAATAAATATCAAACAAAAATAATAGAATAAGATAATGATAAGACTAAAATAAGATTCAAAATCTTTAATGCAGTTCAAAACAATATATTTACTGATATATGGCTATAAGCCTTTATAATGACCAAAGAGATTTTGCCTGCCTCTCGCCCTAAGACAGCTGGGATAGGCTCCAGCGCCCCCTGGGACCCTTGAAAAGGAGAAGTGGAAGCAAATGGATGGATGGAGATTGAATTTGCTTTGGAGAATTAAACTTTTTCTGCTTTTGTTTTAGTCTGTTTAGTTATTCAGAGCTCACTGTCAAGTTATTCAGTTATGGAAAACAATGGATTTGTCATTGTTTCATGTCATTTGACCTGGCCTTTTGAGTTTATGGTGTTTTTTTGTGTGTTGTAATATTTTGGTTTTCTATTTTTTGATTATTGAGTTCTCTTTATTGTTTAGTTGTACGGTATTTTAGTTTCCTTGTTGTCTTGTCGAGATGTCTCGTCTCCCCTTCCTGTGTGTCATTCCATGTCACCCCTGACGGTCATGTGTATTCCATGTTTGCCCAGCCCATCATGTCTCTCTCTTGTGCTCTCTCTCATGTTCCCTTGCTCCTGCGTATTTAGTGTGTGAGTTTTCTGTCATTTATTGTCGGGTAGTCTGTTGTGTTCACGTCATGTTTCCTGGTTTTCAAGATGCCCACATTCTGGTTATCCCATCTTGAGGTTTCTCATATTCAGTTGATGTTCTTTGTCCTTTGGGTTTAGCATTTAGTTTCTCCCATTTTAGTTAGGTTTTTGATCTAGTTAAGTTTTGCTTTAGTATCTGCCTGCCTTTGTTACCTTCTCCCAGCCTAATAAATGGCTCACCTTTTGTAAACCCTGTCCCTGCCTCGAGGGTCTGCATTTGTGTCTGTTATTTTTTGAAATACAATGTAATTTACAACTGTGTAGAAACGACCAAATACTGATGTATTTTCTTCTGTTGTCTGCTTATTATGCATGTCAGTACTGACTGTACTGCATGCTGTATATATATGTATTCAGTTTTGTTAGTACAATCGAAATCTTTTTTGTTTTGTGGGATTCATTAGAGATATTTGTGCCATTTCAGTCCTAAATGTGCAGCCCTGATCAATAGTCTGGATGGAAGCTGTGTGGGTTTTTTTTTAAATTATTTATTTTATTTATTTTTTATTCCAAGCTGACAAACTTGACTGACTGAATTATCTGTTTGATCTGTCACCAAAGTTATTGTGCAGTTATATTTTGCATAGCATTGACATGCAGAGACAGTGAAATAGCAGCAAATGCATCTCATCTCCTCTTCGATAAGTATGAAAGAGACCCATAGAATAGCAAAGTATGCTGCTGTTTTTGGCTCTGAGGGTTTCAGCTCAGGGAAACACAGCTGGGAGGTGGAGGTGGGAGACCATCCTGACTGGATAGTGGGTTTAGCTAAAGAGTCAGTTGAGAGGAAGGGAGAGCGTTTTGCTTCACCAGAATATGGAATCTGGTGTTTATTGCATCGCAGTGGAGAATACATTAATGTTGTTGGTCGGACTGTGAAAGTGAAGAAGAGTCTCCAGAGGATCAGAGTCCAGCTGGACTATGACAGGGGGGAGGTGTCCTTCTATCACCCTGAAGACATGACTCACATCTACACTCACAGAGACACTTTCACTGAG